GAAATTCTAACTTCATTGGCTGATAGTCATCTTCCATGGGATGATGAGCAAGATAATCAGCCAACACACTACCTTTGATAGCTTTTTGGGTAGTATACTGGATGTCATATTCAGTTAAAATCATCTGCCAATGGGATACTCTTCCCGTGAGAGTTGGATTTTCAAAATGTACTTAATTGGATCCATCTTAGAGATCAACAAAGTAGTATGAGTCAACATATATTGTGTTAGTCGGCGAGCAGCCCATGCCAAAGTGCATCAAGTTTTCTCGAGCAGTGAGTATCCTATTTCACAGTCGGTAATTTTTTTCTAAGGTAGTATATTGCATGCTCTTTTTGACCAGACTCGTCATGTTTCCCCAATACACCCCCATTGAATTCTCTAACACTATCAGATACATTATCAGGGGCCTACCTTCCACTATAGGAGAAAGAATTGGAGGTTCCAACAAATATTCTTTAATTCTATCAAATGCTGCTTGGAAATTGTTATTCCACCTGTCTGTCTGATCCTTTCTCAACAATTTGATAATTGGTTCACAAGTGGTTGTAAGGTGAGAAATGAATCTAGCAATATAGTTCAATCTCCCAAGAAAACCACGAACCTCTTTCTCTGTTTTCGGCATAGACATTTCTTGTATAGCTTTTACCTTGCTAGGATCAACCTCAATTCCTTTTTTGCTTACAATGAAGCCCAGTAATTTTCCTGACCTCACCCCGAAGGTGCACTTATTAGGATTCAACCTCAGTTTGAACTTCCTTAATCTTTCAAACAATTTTAACAAGTGGACAAGATATTCCTCTTCTGTTTGGGACTTAGAAATCATATCATCAACATATACTTCAATCTCCTTATGCATCATGTCATGAAAGAGAGTAACCATTGCACATTGATAAGTTGCCCCTGCATTTTTCAAACCAAAGGGCATCACTTTGTAACAAAATATTCCCCAAGGTGTAATGAAAGTAGTTTTCTCCATGTCTTTTAGTGCCATCTTGATCTGATTATAGCCAGGAAATCCATCCATGGAGGAAAACACTTTAGCTCGAGCAATATTGTCAACCAGAATATCAATATATGGTAACGGGAAGTCATCTTTAGGGCTTGCTCTATTCAAGTCCCTATAGTTTGCATATATTCTGACTTTACCATCCTTCTTAGGCACCGGTACAATATTCGTGATCCACGGCGGGTAAGAAGTCACTTTCAAAAAACCAGCGTCAAACTGTTTTTGAACCTCCTCTTTAATCTTCTTAGACATATCAGGATGAGTTCTTCTAAGATTTTGTTTGACAACAGGACACTCTTCTCTAAGAGGCAGTTTATGCACAACAATATATGTATCCAACCCAGGCATGTCTTCATAAGACCAAGAAAAGATATTTGCATACTCTCGGAGCATTTTAATCAATCTTCACTTGATATTGTCTTCTAGAACAACCCCGATATCGACTTCTCTTTAGACCTCTTCGGTACCCAAGTTGATCAACTCAGTAGTCTCTTGGTGAGGCTGAATGACCTTTTCTTCTTGCCTCAACAATCTAGCTAACTCCTCAGGAAGTTCACAATCTTCCTCAGCTTCTTCTTCAGCTTGATAGATTGGATTTTCAAAGTCGTAAAGAGCCATAGAAGAATCATTCTCAACAGTTTCCGAGATTAATGGGGGACATAATCTTCATGATTATTTTTATTTTGATTTTAGTTTTAGATTAAAAAAAGAAAATAAAAACTCACATTTTGCAAAAAGTTTAAAATAAAGACATGGAGCTAAATATTTGAATGCAAAAGACGTCCTTTATTGATGATAAATTTGCAATGAAAAACATCGTGGCCTTACATCATGTCGACTATGCCTTAGGCGGAACATAGGAATTATTGCATGATAACAAATAAAAGAAAATTACTTTTCATAACGGGTGACTTCAATGACGTCTTCAGCAAACCAGTTAGCAAGCTTTTCACCTGGCACGGTTGGACGAACCCACTTATCCATCTCGCAATCACTATCACCATCCTCACTCACTGCACAAGCTTCTTCATGAATAACCCCACCGCTAACAAACTGAATTGACGGAGGAATACCTTGAACCTGGAGAGGAGCAACAATTGACATGCTTCGACCAGCCACAAAGCCTAAACCTTTTTTATATGCCTGAGTAGGAAGATTCAACACTCTTCCCCAACCTTCTGGATGACCAGATTGAATAACCATGTATGCCTGACGATAAGATGATATGGAGACCTCCGGCTTCTTAACCTCTTGATGAGGAGTCCTAACCACCTGTACGGTCTCAAAAGCTTGACACAGAGTCTCATGGATTTCTCCCTCCACCTTAACATAGCGAAAGGAACTCAGATGAATGACAATATAATCCTCTTTGCCGTAAACAATGACTACCTTCCCATTCAACAGGAACTTCAACTTTTTGTGCAGAGTGGAAGTGACAGCACCAGCCCCATGGATCCATGGACAGCCCACCAAATAGCAATAAGAAGGATTAATGTCCATGATAAAGAAAGTTACTTCAAACACCTGGGGACCTATCTTGATCGGCAAGTTGACATACCCAAACATTGTCCTTTTTGACCCATCAAAAGCTTTGATAATCAAATCTCTTGGCCTCAACACAAGTTCATCGTAATCAAGCTTCATGAGAACGTACCTGGGCAACACATTGAGAGAGGAGCCTGTGTCGACCAGCACACGAGACAAAGTAGTCTTTGCAATCTCCATAGAGATGTGCAACGCTTTATTGTGCTTCCTCCCCTCAAGGGGTAGATCAAAGTTTGTAAGACCAAGCCCATTACTTGAAGAAATACTATTCACGATCCTTTCAAATTGATTCACCTAAATCTCTTGAGGAAGGAAAGAAGTCCCCAATAACTTCATCAATGCATTTCTATGGGATTTAAAATCCTTGAGCAAAGAAATAATTAATATCTTTGAAGGTGTCTGACTCAATTGGTCAATGATCTTATAGTCACTTTTCTTGATGTACCTCGTCAACTCGGCTACATCTTTAGCCATTTCAACATTCAAAGCAGGAACAGGAGGATTTTGCCCCAGATTATCACCATTGACCACAATCTGTTTTCCCCTAGCCTTAGTCGCAACCTCTATGCTACTTTCAGGCTTTTCGGGCGGTGAAAAGATTCGACCATTACTGGTGATTCGACTTTCGTTGATAATATCATGCACTACGGGCTTCTCTTCTTCAGGCACACAGATAGTTTTCAGCTTGACCATAATGGTCATCACATCCACCTCCTCACTATTAACCTCGGGCTTAACGACTTTGCAATCAAACTGAAGAAACCCCTTGGTAATCAGGCTTTGAACCACATCTTTCAACAATTGACAACCCTCTGGCCGGTTCAAGAAAACTGCACAGCCCGTCCCACAACCCAAGAATACACCTTTACTCGATAATTGTTCTTTCACAAATGAGAGAGGTGTAGTTAACTGATTAACATCCATGACCAAATTCATACCTTCATCTTCCATGATGGCACCAACTGTGGCACCTCCATGAGGTGGCACAGGCTGATTAGTGATATTAGGTGTCGGGCCAAAGTTAATGGCTTGAGAATCCAATAGGTCTTGGACTTTGTGCTTGAAAGCATAACAATTCTCAATAGTGTTCCCCTGCCCACCAAAGTGGAAATCACATCGGGAATTAGCATCAAAATTGTATGGTAAGTTTTCTAGATCAACCTTCCAAGGGCGCAACTCAACTAGCTTCAACTCAAGCAACTGGGGTAACAACTCAGCACAAGATATCATAAATGTGTCAAGCTTCCTAGGAGGACACCTTTGGCCTTGTCGATTGCCTTTCTTAGACACATAAGCTTGCCTCTGAGGCACAACAATTAGTATTGTTACAGCAGCAATCTGATGATCTGAACCCTGCCACCTGCCTTTCCTTTTTTGAGAATAGACCGCGCTGGATTCACCCTCCTTTTTCTTCTGGTGACTGTTGCACCCCAAAATTTGCCCTCCTAATCTCTTTTATTTGGCTTGGACTTTTTGCATTCATCTGCATCATTCCAATGGTTCATTTGCATAGCACGCATTTTTCATAAAAATAAATAGCTCTGAGGTTCAAAGTCCAATGGTTGTGCGACACTAGGGTTTCCCAGTGGTTAAGGTGCTCGTATCCAATAAGGGATGATTTCTTATTTAGGCAGCAAGCTGTGGAATTAGGGTTTTGGTTCATTCTCTTTTTTTTGATTTCTTCTCCATCAAGCTACAAGGTTATTATCTTCTGTTGAACAATAGGTTGCAGGGTATTCCTGTCAATAACATAAGATTGTGATCTCGCGTACATGATTCAAAACACCTCATTCTATCGTTGTGCTTGTCATTTGGTCAAGGTTTTGTCAAGACTAGGGGTGTATTAAGATCTTCTCTAAAGGATCAAGATCTGTTATCAATCCAGGATGCATATGATGCTTGTATTACAGGTTGTTGACTATGTCATTGTTGCATTAAGTTCATCTATCCTTAAGTTAATCAATTAGGATTGGGTACGTCATGATTTAAGATATTTTGTATGGTAAATTTGGTTGCTTGACGGCCAAGGTATTGCGAATAATTGGTACAAGCTATTGTTTGGATATTTGTGCAAGAACTTTGGTTTCAAACATGGATTAAGGTTCAACTTGATAAAAAAGGAAATAGCATGCCCGAAGGTTTATTTCATAAATTCTTGCGGAGGAAGATGGCACATGAATATAAGTTGAGATTAAAGTACATGGTATCAAGAATCTCTTCATGATTCAAGTTGTTATTTTCAAAGATTATCCCACACCATTATTAACCCCAATTAGCAGCATTCAAGAGAGAGATATTGAGGATGAAATCATTGTTGAACACGATGAAAGTTCAGATGTTGTGCCAGCCGCAGCTGCCTCCTCCTCGTATCAGCCAGTCATGGGGCTCAAAATGAAGGTCCAATTAATCAGAGGGGAAAAGGAATTAACGGACGCATTGCTTCTGGATGCAAATGGAATGGGAAAAACTAGATGGAAGATCCAGAATCTGGGTGGAGCAACTAAGAGGTATTTCCCTTGAAACTCAATTTGTCCTTAACAAATATGATGCCAAATTGAATCATAAGCCAATTCTCATCTACATTTGTAAGTACTGGACTCGACATGTTGTTAGTAAGAAGATAGATGGTATCAGAAACAAAATTGAAGATGCTTCTAGGAGAAGAAAAGCATATGGTTTAGTGCAAATTCAAAGCCGAGTTGTATCTAAGATTCAAATATTACGTGCACGGATGCAACCGTATCTCGCTGCCAAGAAATCCAGTGTGGTTGGATTTGATGATGACACACAAGTTCTGATGACGGAGTTACTGTCAGACGAGAAATGCCGCTGCATTACTTGGATTGTTGGAGTCGAAGGCACAGGTAAGACAACACTAGCCAATTTGATATTTGAAGACAACACTGTTGTAGCTCATTTTCAGCGTCGCGTATGGGTGTCACTGCCTTCAAATTGTACGACAGACCAGTTTGTTGCAGAAATTGGCAAGGAGACCGCCAAGAAAATTACAGTAGAAGAAGAAAACATGCCCACTTATTACATACTCACAACCTTGGCACACTCAAAGTACCTTATAGTTGTTGATGGCCTTAAAGAAACATCCAAAGTATACTTGGATACCTTGAACAGGGTCATACCTGATATGTTAACAGGAAGCAGAGTTCTTTTTACTACTCGCAATGCAACAGTAGCCCAACATGTAGCAGGTAGAATCATTCTTCACCCATTACAGTTATTAGATGATGAAACTAGTTGGCTGTTGTTCACAAGACATTTGAAGGTCCCCAAGTCAGAAACAGAACTTATCAAGGTTGGAAAAGAAATTGTGATGAAATGTGGGGGACTGCCATCACAAATACTGAAAACAAGTGATTGCTTTATCCACGAATGGATAATCTGTAAAATGGTTGAGATATTAAGCAGTCTTAGAAAAGATCCTTCAAAGTCTGTTGTATTTCACTTTCGTCTTGGTGTTGAAAATGTGCCTGGGCAGATGAGTAAGCTGTTGCAGTTGCATCTTGGTGACTGTTTGGTTTTAATTGACTCCCTAGATACATGTTTCTCTGAATCAGTGAATGTGAAAGTTCTTGGTTTCTTTGTAGATCTTTTATCTGGAGAGCAATTTCCTCATCTCAGAATGAGGATACAAAGGAAATTCATTGATAGAGATATACAGAGCGTATCTAAATGGTTGGAGAAAAGGCTTTTAGGAAGCATAATGAAATCAGAGGGTGGGGTGAATATTGCAAAGGGGAGATCCATTTCTCTCCGAGATTCAACCATGAATTTTATTTTATGCCTAGTATCGCCGCCATCTGAAAAAACAGTCGATAGCGTTGCAACATCATATTTTCAATTCTGCACTGCTATTACTTGATAATGCGTTTTTGCTGTTCGATATACATGTGGCCAAGTCATGTTTCAATTTCATTGCTCAAATTTCAAGGGGAGAGTTCTTGATGAAACAACTTTTGACGAGGACTGTAATCTTGTTGGGGAAACTGGCGGGAAATGAGGGTTTGCTTCCAGGACTCAAGTTTCTATTTGTCTTTATTGCAATTGTCTTGGACGAATGTGGATATGGTAAAATTTCCTTGCAAAGGACAACTAAGAAATGTTATTCTGGAAATAGCGCTGGGGCGGGTCATGCGGCTGCTCAAGTGGTTGGGTCTAAAAAAAAAAAATTCTGAGACATTCATTGTTTCTTCCAATCAAGGTGGATCAGCCTCTCTAGAATGTAATGCTACTTATGTAGATGAGGATGAGGATGATGCAACTTCTGATGGAGAGGTTCTTAGCATAGATAAAGATGATGAAGAGGATGCCAACAGTGAAAGGGCCCTTGCCTCTAAAGTTTGCACATTTACTTCCAGTGGAAGAAATTTCATGGAGCAGCATTGGTATTTCTGCTATACATGTGACCTGACTGTATCAAAAGGTTGTTGCTCAGTTTGTGCAAAGGTTTGTCATCGAGGTCACCGTGTAGTCTACTCGCGCTCAAGCCGCTTCTTTTGTGACTGTGGAGCTGGAGGTGTTAGGGGTAGTAATTGTCAATGTTTGAAACCACGAAAATTTACTGTAGATAACAGTGCACCTGTTCGTGGTTCTAACACATTTCAGTCATTTTTACCCTTTACTGAAGATGGAGATCAGCTGCCAGATAGTGATTTAGATTTTGAAGATGACATAAAATTAGATGTAGATAACTCACTCAAATTATGTATTACAAAAGAGCTTCAAGAAGGGATTCCATTGTTATTGGAAGAATTTGATGTTGAGAGTCAGGTGCTCAATCTTTGCTCTGCCTTGATGCCATCAGTAATTAGTAGACGAGACTTCCACCATTCTAAGGATAAGAATGTCGGTTTGGGTGAAAACAAAGTGATTTCTCATGGCATTGATCTCTTGCAGTTGAAGAAAGCTTATAAAAGTGGATCATTTGATCTCAAGATAAAGGTTGATTATTCTAATTCCAAGGATCTCAAGTCACACTTAGCAAACGGTTCTCCTGTGAAGTCCTTGCTCAGTGTTAGTGTACGTGGTCGGCTCACCGTTGGTGAAGGTGATAAAGTTGCTATATATGATTGTGATCGGTGGATCTGGAACTGACTGTTTAACGCTGGTTCGCGAAATGTCGCGGAAGCAAGAGTCGCCACCGTCTTTTATTTTCTCCAAATGGAAAGGACAAAAGCACAGAAAAATTCCTTAAAGAGATTGCTCTCGGTTCGGGAGGTAGGTTATAGAAAGGGAAGGTGTTAGCACCCTTTCTATCCATGGTTATCCATGGGCTCTTAGATACTTGCTCATTGTGTTTTCAAAAATGGTTTGTTTGCTTTTCAACTGTGGGTTTTAAAAAGTTTCTTTGAAAATTTCAGTTCGACTCTTGTATCGGTCCTCAAGAGTGTTTGAAAAATGCTTTCGAAAGCTTTTTGAAAAGGTGTCGGTGTGAAAAGTATTTTTGAATTTGTTTTGAAATTAGAGCAAGTATCTACGAGAACCTACCTACCCTAAGGAATTCGTCCGTGTAAATGTCCTTTAAAGTAGTGCCATCCCATCATTGAGAGGTAGGTAGCACCACCGTTGGAGGTGTTCGGGTCAATTCGAGGTTCGGGACATGGTGATCACCAGAGCAATGGGAAGACACCTTAGAAGCTACCCTCATGCCAGGTTCCCGGATCATGAGGACTTACTAAGACGTCCTCTACTCGACGATCATCTTTCGAGGCAAGGCAACAGTGAGGCGTACCCTAGGGGTGGTGTGTGCGATTCGTGTGTCGTTTTCATTGATATTTGTCTTGTCATGTCTTTGGTGTTCTACGCATTGCTTTTATTTAGGCCACTCATTCTTGCATGCTTTGTTTAACAGTTAAAAAATATTTGCGAGGAAAATAAATCTAAAGCTATTACAAATGGCGCGGGTCCACATCGCCAAAATTAAACCGGACCCGATTTGACAGAAAGTAAAGAATTAAAAAGTGCGAGAAGTAATTATTTACAAGGCTTCGGGAGAGATACATAATTATTTAAGCAATAAAATAAATACGTGAATTAATGAGAATTAAGAACATGGGCGTTGGACCCTTTTGCAAAAAATTAAAATTAACGAGGAATTAAAATTAAAATTAAAAGAAAGCAAGAATTTTGTTTTTGTTTTTGGTATTTTTATGTTTTTGAAGATTTAATAGAAAAATTAAAATAAAATTCTAAACCTAATTCTAATTATTTTTAAGTTATTAAGAAAGATATTGAGGTTTTTAACCTAAATTAACCCTAAATTATTTTCATGCAAATTTAATTATAAAAAATAAATAAAATAAATATTATTATTTGTGAAAAAGAGAAAAATTAAAAAGGAATAAAAACATTAATTAAACCTATTTCTACATTTTTTAGATTTTTTTATGAAAAGAATTAATATTGCAAACCCTAATTTAGACTAAATTTATTTACATACATTTATTTATGAAAATATTAGAAATAAAAATTATTTATTATGTTTTTATCTTTTCTGATTTTTATGAGGTTTTTGTATTTTGTATAAAAAACAATTAATTAAATTAAAACAATAAAGAAAATAAAATAACAATTGAAAATAAAATATAAAGAAAATTGCAAACCAGGGGGGTGGAAGTCCCCAATATGGAGGTTTGATTGTGAAATTCTGGCCCAATAACCTTGATCCATTTGACCTTTCCATGCAGCGTGCCCATGCGTTGACCATGGTATATGATGTACCTTCAATCTCAGCCTTTGGTTTAATTCTGATGGACGCGTGGATATTAATTCTTGAGGATGCATGGTACGTCTTAACGCTGGCGCTGCATAGGAATTGTTAATGAAAAACAATATGGAAATTACACAGACCTGGGGCTCGAACCCAGGTCTTAGATGTCAATGCAATGAGCGCTTGCCAGCTGAACCATTGAAACATTTTGTTAAATAAATAAACAACGAACAATATAATATGAAACAACGCGCTAGTGGGTAAACGCGCGCGAATTTCAAATCAGCGTATCATGCTTTGCCACGAGGTCATCTTCCTCGTTGTGTTTTTTTTCTGAAAATATAATAAACATAAGCAACGGTTTTTAAACGTTACTAAAAGTGCTATATGGAAAAATAGCGAATAGGCCATAAGGCCTCATAAATTGATCGCGATGGGTGGTTCCTGTTCGTCCAGATGCGTCAAGTTCAATGGTTTTGGTCTCGTCCCCCAATTTTGCTTTATTTCAAAAGCCCTAATTCTAAGGTTGAAGAACCTTAATCTGCATCAATGGCATAATCATGGATATAGCACAAAAACGCAATTAATGTAAACAGTTAGCTTCAGAATCTCATAATAAACAAGAATCCATGAATAAAATGCTGTGAAAATGCTTAGAATACAAAACACGATAATGAAAAATATGTGAGACAGGTTGACTTCTGGATGCCGTTTCACGGCATTTCAATTGATGTTTTTGATTGGAACACGTCCAATGATGCTTGAGGAAACTAATGGAACAGGAATTAGGCCTTGAATCGCCCTCTAAGCTTGTTTTCAGAATTGAGTTTATGGAGAAAAATTTCAAGTTTGTAGAGAGCTTTTCTGCGCAGCTTTTTGTCTAGCATCATTAGGGTTATGATCATGCTTATGTACTGAGTGCATTAGGTCAAAAATATTGATCAAAATCTCTTGAATTAATGGTTTTGGAAATTTGATTTCTTAAGATCTTTTTCATATCTTTTCCCATGTGCATTTGGTTCAAATCATATCCAATTGCTCCAATTCTTTCCACATTTAGCTAAGCACGAAATATTGAGTCCAAAACATGCATAAAAAGATTGGTTAGGTCAAGTTAGATATTTTTTCATATTTTTAAATGATTAATATAAATAATAATTCAAATAAATAAATAAAAAATGAGAAAATACTTCCCTTTGGGCCAAGTGGTCGTGCATATGCTTAGAATGATGAATCATGGAAGAAAAATGGGCCCATTAGCAATTTTAGGTCATTTGAATCAATGTTGACTTTTCAAAATATCCAAAAATTTCCCAACTTCCACAAGGCATAACTTGCTCAATTTTTAAGCTTTTCTCATGTTCTTGGACATTTTGGAAAGGTCTGTGAGTCCTCTAACCAATGCCTTTGGTCCCATGTCATTTTGATTTACCAATCTCAAGTTATGGCCTTTGACTTAAAGTCCCTTTTTGTTGACTTTTGAAAATGACCTATAATGTTGAAATTGATAACTTTTTGTGAGAGCATTTCTTGGGCTTGAAGTATGAAGATGGGTTGTAGGAAATGTCTTTCTATTCAAAATGAGCCTTGGATGGAATTTTTCTGATAATCCATGTGAAAGTTATGCCCTGGTTAATTTCAGTTGACTTTTTCAACTGTCCAAATAAGGCAACTTTTGCATCTTGATGATTTCTGAGCCAACTTTTGAGAATCATGATCAAGCATTGATCAAATGATGTTTGTGGCTTCAACATGATATGTTGACCAAAAATTTGAACTTTTGACTGCCAAATGACCATTTTGCCCCTACAGTTGACTGTAGTGCAATTTAGGGTTTTGACTGTGCAATTTTGAGCTGAATGCCTTGAAACTTGATATGAAGATATTTGACCATATTTGTAGGCATGTGAGACTTGATTGGGCCTTTGAAACCTTCAATTTCTTGATCAGAACACAAACCCTAGTTTTGACTGTATATGAGACCTTTGCACTGTGCAACCTCTGGGGAATTTTGTGACTTGGCTTGGCAATTTCTTGAAGAATATGGGAGGGCAAATTTTGGGGTACAACAGTTGCCCCTGTTCAATCTTCTTAGACCTGAGGATGCAGATTGGCGGACGTGCCTTTCGTAATCCGAGGGTAGAAGATGATTG